AACCCAACCCATCTGAGAGTTATAACCTTTAACCTGACTGTTCCCATGCAGCCTATGCCTCCGTGGTCTGTCTTTGCACTGGTGAGTTGTGCTCTGGAGAGCGTCCTTTGCACAAGTGCCGTGCAATAGAGACGGATCTCCGTTGTCATGAATGTAAAGGGGACTCTCTCTAAGGGAGCTGCTGGACACAGATGGACCAAGAGGGTCTCTCTGGTTCCCTAGCTCTCAGACTGTGCTGCCATTGTCACGGCGCAGCATCTCCCTTAGGCCTGGCCAGAGTGGTCCTGCCGGGGTCTGCTGCTGGCCCTGTGCGTGGGAAGTGTGCTCCGGACTGGGGGGTGAACGCAGTTGTCGTTTGTTGTGCAGCGCCTGGTGTGCATGAACATGCCTTTGAACAGCGATGGCACCGTCACCTTCAACGCCACTCTCTTCGCTCTGGTGCGGACTGCCCTCAAGATCAAGACGGAAGGTGAGGGACACGCTCTGTCTGCTTTGGTGCCCTGCCCTGCCAGCATAGTGCTGGCTGGTGCATCTATAGAGACTGCCTCCAGAATTCTTCCCTAGCCCCACCCATGCAGGGGTCCCTCCCCAGCCATCAGCGTGAGATGTGAGTAATATCGGCTACCCTGGTGCATTTCTTCTGGGACCGAGGGCCAGATCCTTTGCTGCTGCAAATCAGCATGACTTGACTTCAAAGGAGAGTCGCCTGTTTACACCTGCTGGGAACTTGGCCCCTTGTAATTTAGCCTCACAACACCCATGTGAGGTAGGTGAGGGTTGTGTAGGGATCCTTTCACCCATCCACAGAATGCTGCCTTCTTCTCTGAGGAGTGTCCCTGGCGGTGCTCCACCCCGAGCACCTTTGATTGGAGATGTTCACTAGCAGTGCCTGTTGGAGTCTGATGAGCCAGAATGGGTACCACATGGCTATCGGTAGTGAAATCTGCAGGGCCTCTGAGACCTTACTTTCCTCCGGTACCCCCGGGTTCTCCTGTACCACCTGTCCCAGGTGGAGAACCATCCTCGCCTCCAATGTCTGCTCCTCCTCTGGACTGTGCTGAGGACTCCACTTCAGATTCTCAGCTATCTGTGCGGGGATCCCCTAGGTACCACCATAGCAGCATCTCTCCTGATACCTTTGTGACGGGCTGGACCCCCTGGGATGTCACCTGCTGTGCTGGGATTTCACTGAGTCAGACCATTCTGCCAGCATGGACCCCCCTTTATCTGGTCTTGCTGGGCTCGGCTCCCCTGTCTTTTCCAGCCCAGCACACAGGCAGGGCCACACCCACCTGCACAGAGAGACAGAGATTCACTCTGGGAAGGCTCAGCTTAAGGAGCTTGCCACAGCACCCAGATGTCCACCCTCCCTTGGAGTACAGACCCGAAATTATATGAGATTCACCTCTTCTCTCAGTGTGGAGGAGGGTGTGCACATCTCCACTCCCCACCCCCCGTTAGAAATCACATTGACTGGGTTCTATTGTAAACCAGAAATAAATGTATTAACTAGAACAGGTGTATTTTAAATAGTTAAGGAGGTAGCAGACAGAACAATGCATATCTGCCCCAAGTGTTTTCTCCAAAGTCCTGGCAATAGTAGCTGTGCACAGGTGGGGAATAATCATCTTTCCTACCACGACAACTGGCTGTTCAAGGACCATTGTATGTCAAAGTCTTCTCTGCAATACAGAAGCCATCTGTAATGTCCACTTTGACTCCAGTTCAACAGATAAACTTCACAGGAGCATCTCTGAATGCCCTAACATCCAGAGCTTACCTTCCTTCCGACAGATTTCTGATACTGATGAGTCTTATTGCCAAGATCAAATAACCCCCTGACAACAGCAAGAAATTGCCTCCAACTGCTGGCTCATATGGCAGCTTGTACTTTCATAACACAACATGCCAGGTTACATCTTGCTGCTTCCAGGGTTGGCTCAGAATAGTCTATCACCCGAACAAACAAACAGTCTAGACAATCTGGTGTCT